GCGGCGCGGCGCGTGAGCGCGGCCCCGGGCGCGGAGCATGGCTTCCCGCGAGCGCCTCTACGAGCTCTGGATGCTCTACTTCGCCAAGGTGAGCCCCTACGGACCGGACCGGGGCCGTACGGACCGCTCCGGCACCCTATAGCACGGGGCGGCACGGTAGGATACGGTGCGGCTCCGGTATAGCATGGGGCGGCACGGTATGGAGCAGTGTAGCCCGGTGTGGCACGGGTATGGCACTGTATAGCACGGCTATAGCCCTATGGTATGGGACAGTATAGCACAGCATAGCCCACTACGGCACGGTTATAGCCCACTACGGCACGGTTATGGTCTGTAGTGGCACAATATGGCATGGTATGGGGGTGTTATAGCTCGGTATGGTGCGGTTATAACCCGGTCTGGTATGATATGGCGCAGTATAGCATGGTTATAGCCCGGTATGGCACGGTCCAGCCTAGTATGGCACAATATGGCCCAGTATGGCACAGTACGGTCCAGTTGGCACAGTACGGTCCAGTTGGCACAGCACAGTCCTGTATGGCATAATATAGCCCAGTATGGCACAGTACGGTCCAGCTGGCACAGCACAGCCCGCTATGGCACAGTATAGCATGGTTATAGCCCAGTATGGCACAATATAGCCCGGTATGGCCCAATACGGCCCGGCACAGCCCACCCTGGCGGGAAGCTCCGGGCCGGAGCAGGTGCCGCGGCGGCAGCACCCGGAGCGGGTGCCCCCCGGGCCGCCCCTCCTCCCGCCCCAAAACGCCCCTTTCTGCCCCAAAACCGCCGGCCGCCCCCAGCGCCTCCTTCCCCGCTCCCGTCGGGCCGGATCCGGCCGCCGCGTCCCCCCCGCCGCCGCGATCCCTCTTTGTTCGGAGAAGGAAGCGGCCGCTCGCTCCCAAACTTCCCCGGATCCGGGAGCGGCGGAGGCCGCTCCACGTTGGGCAGCCGGGCAGCAATCCGGCTCTTTCCCGGGAAAACCCAATTTGGGGGAGCCGGGGAGGGGATTCCCATGGGCTGTGCCGCATCCCGGGATACGCGATCCCGTCCGGCACGGCTCCGGAGAGCGTCGCTTCCCGGCACGGCCGGCAGCCCAGGGGTTAAAACACCCCCCGCCTTTTCCCTGTGTTTTCTTTTCCCCCCGGCTCAAGGTGATCCCTGATTATATTTTTTTCCGTTCCTCCTTCCCGGCTCCGGCGGTAGCGCCAGGCACGTGCCAGGCTCCGTAGCCTTGGAAACGGCATCGCAGGGATGAGCGGCATTTGCCGGCCGGAGCGGCGGTTCCCTCGCTGCATCCCGTCTCTGCCGGGCAGGATTCCCGGGTGACACTTCACATTGTCCCCAATCGCTCCCACATGTTCCCTGTGCATCCTGGTGCAGTTTGGATCCCAAATTCCCCCCCTATTCTCTGGAAGGGACTGGAATGACCCAAACTGCCTAGGACTGTCCTCAAAATGTGCATGTGTGCGTGGGTCAGGGACCCCTGTCCCCTTCAGCCAGGGGTTGTCCTGCTGGGAACTCCGTGATGTTCCCTATGGATGTGTGTGTCCAGAGCTCATCCCGGGCAGCGAGGGTTGTCCTTTGGTGGGATCTCCATGATGATCCCCATGGATGTGCGTCTCCCAGGGTTTATCCCGGCCAGCAAGGGTTGTCCCTTGGTGGGATCTCCATGATGATCCCCATGGATGTGCATCTCCCAGGGGTTATCCCGGGCAGCAAGGGTTGTCCCTTGGTGGGATCTCCATGATGATCCCCATGGATATGCGTCTCCCAGGGGTTATCCCGGGCAGCAAGGGTTGTCCCTTGGTGGGATCTCCATGATGATCCCCATGGATATGCATCTCCAGGGCTCCTGGGTGACAAAGATTGTCCCTTGGTGGCACCTCCATGGTGACCCCCATGGGGGTACAACACCCTGGACACATCCCAGGTGGCAGTTTGGCACCAAGTTGAACAAGGAGGCCGGGATGTCCCAGCAGACTCCCGCCAGGAACACCACGGGATCCCCCGGCTCATCCTGAAGAGCCGGAAAACCGGTGGTGGCACCGAAAGCTCCCGCTCCTCTTCCGAGATCGGGCG